CAAGGCCAAACACCCTCCACCCACCACCACACACCCTCTTTTGGCCAACCTGTCCTACTCCACATCATAAAGATGTCTTAACATGTACAATCTCACAGGTGCTTGTGCCCATTGCTTACCAGCTTTTCAAACCAATTGTATGTATTTCATTGTGGATGAAAGCTTCCCAAGTGGTTTTATACCAAGGTGTGTAGAAGTTACCCTGTGTGGAGAACAACATGCAGCAGACAAAGTTACACTCAACTTGTGATGTCGACAACCGCTTGGCAAACCTGAGTAATAGTACAGATTAGGAGGTGCAATTTTCAATCAATTGGATATCAACCATGGGCACCATCTGCAATGATTAGGAAAAACAGTGTTGCACTTCGTTCTTGCGATCCGATGACCTTCTGTTCTAACATCATGTTTGGCAGGGCAACGTGAGCATCAGCTTTGCCAGTTGCACCTTCACAAACAACACTGCTGAGAGTGATGGAGGAGCATTGTATCTTTACGTACGCACCCCTTCATAAGCTGTTTTGCACATGTGACAAGTGCAATGCTCCCATTTGCAGAGAGGTACCACAGTGGACTATTGTACTAAGCGATTGCTTGCGATGTAAGACACTTCAATGCTTGTGCCAGTTGCTCGAGAGCTTTCTAAATGAATTACTTCCTCCGTCCGGAAATAGATGAAACAGTTTGGAAAAGTCAAATTACAACACCAGGATGAATCCAAACGTCAAAAATAACATCAGATTTGAAAAGATTACGTCCCAAAACCTTAAGAACCACTTTTGTCCGAAATAAATGCAATCATTTAGTCCATTTCACAAGCGTCCAAAATGCGCCGCCCTTTTGCCAGAAATCGGCGGTCCACGTAACGCGCCTGAGCCATCGTTTCTGTCCGCCCCGCCCTCCTGGCGCCTTTGTGTGGGACCCCGAAGTCGTTGCCTCCTGGCGCTCAAGCGCGCTTTCTTGGACACTAAAAAGAGCATGCCACACGTGCTCAAGCTGCTCGGGATCGAGGCGAAGGCAGAATTGATGGCAGCAATGATGCCGCCCAGGTTGGCCCCAGCTTTGACTTCTTCTGCCCGTTGCTGGAGGCTATGAAACAGACCAAGATCTAATATGTTAAGATTGGGGCTATATCTTGATTCTAAAGCCATCCTTCAAGCACTCTGCTTGAAGTTCCCTTGTATGCTTTCTGTCATGTGAGGCTTGGCCCCGTCCATCTAAATCACGATGGTGGTCTTGGCGTGCCAGTAGGCAGCCCTTATTGCAGGAAAAACGCTCGTTTTCATAAGCTGCAGGAAGGCTGCAGCGTCCACGTTGATGGGCTGAAGGATCTGATCGCTGGCTGCTCGATTCTTGGACGATCTTTGCGCGCATCTGGTGGTGATGGATGGCCATATGCCCAATAGGCCGTCACACACCGTCCCATCAGATCGTTTGTGCGGCTGGCCAACAGCCGCTAGAAACATAATCTTGGGTATGAACTCCTTGTTCTTTGCTGTGGGAGCCAATTGGCTTCGTTTTACAACAGCCACCCACGCCACCCATCAGATTGGGCATAAAACCACCTTTCGTCTATGCGAATCCAATGGGTGCACAGGGCAAACACAAATTGCCTCCCCTCCGGCTGGATCCGATTGATCAAAACGCAACGTCTGCAGCTTCTGCTGGGCTGTAAGGCTGGGATAGATCCGCAAGGCACACCTCATGTCTTTCTTTCGTTGCAAGAATTCACGAATGGTCGTCTTGCTTGAATTCGTCAATTGTGCGACCCACCAGACAGATGGCCACTGGTACTGTGGGATCTTCCTAATCTCTTCTGCAGGCTCTTCCAAGGGATTCCTTTTCCTCCCGTAGTGCCCCTTTCATTGCCAGCTGAGGTCGATGCCGTCCCCTTGCTCCGTTTATTCACAGAGTTTCCACGCCATGCGCCAAACTGTGGTCCTACTAGGCCCGAATCTGTCGGTCGCATTGATGATCGAACAGTACGTAGCTCGATCTTGGCCGCCTTGCAGCTTTATAACAGCCGCAGCAACGCTCAGTCTGAGTGGCATCTCGACCTCTACCCTTGTAGCTCCGTGGGAGCCATGGAGAGGGGCCCCCTTCTGAGGCACCATGTCCGGCGAGACCTTGACAACCTTCATATTTTGGGCCAGATTGACAAGGATTCGCAGTGCTGCCATGTAGCCGGTACTTATCCATTGTGGACAAAAACTTGACAACGCTTATTGTACATATAGGTAGTGCTTTGATCAAAATTTTGAAATGAAAATGACGGGTGGGTGATACAATTCTAGCCTATCAAGCAAATTGTTTCATTTTACTCCGGATGGAGGAAGTACATTTAACTCCTTGTGAACGAAGCCTTCCTAAGGGCTTTGTTACAAAGGTACATGGAAGCCGCTTCCTGTGGAGGACAATATGCAGGGTGCCACCCAGTCTACGATGATAACGGTTCTTCTTGCCTAGCTTGAGTACCGCTGCAGATCAGGAAGTACAGTTTTGCAACCAATTTGACGTCAGCCATGGATACCTGGTCATAATGGTGAGGAAAGCAGCGCCGCGTTTCATTCACGTACTCTGATCATCGTCTCTTCTTCCATCACGTTTGGCAGGGCAACACAACCGGCAGCTTCACCAGCTGCACGTTTACAGACAACAGTGTTGAGAGCGATGGAGGAGCATTGTATATTTACGTAAGCATCCCTTCAAATTGCATGTCCTTTGCTGTATGCAGTGCAATAGGCTTGATGCACTCAGCAGGGCAAGTGCATGCTCTTGAGTTTCTGTACAAAGTACAACAACTTATGAGCCTATAAGAGGACAAGGCACAACGGATGACATCTGTGCTGAGGGAAGGATATCATAGACTGTCACCGTGTGTGCCCAGTAGTGCATTGCAGCCGTCGTCATATAGGAGGCATTGGCGGCAAGTACAGTCTTGAGCAGATACTTTGCAGACACAAAGACATTTCAACATTCTCATGATGAGCATTGCGGAGCAATTTGTCATGCCAGTATTGCCGTCTTGCACCGGGCTAGGAAGAGCAGCGTGATATTGATGAAAGATGCGAAACTCAATTGTCAGAATAGCATGACTGCGATGAAGACACGAGTTGACGAATAACTCTTTGCCAAATTGGTAAATATTCCGCAGAAAATTTCCTGTAGTCAGTATCTCTTCGAGCACAGATACGACACGAAAACTGAGGAGAACGTGCAAAGTGACTCTATTTTGTTGGGTGTTCGTGGCTTGAATTCATTTGCTATGCAAAATGTGGCTGTGCTTGTGCTTGATGTATATAGAGTTGTTGGGCAGTCTTGGAACTGACAGAGAGAACGCTTTGCATGGCGAATGTTTCTTTTACTGTAGTTTTGATGCTTTCAAAGTGGCCGCAATGACATCATTTACAATACAAACACAACTACAATTGGCATCACCAGGATAAACTGTCTTGCACCGATACAAAGTGCAAAGGGTGGCGTCTGCAGAGGGCGCCTGGCACTACTGAACCATTGTGATAAGCGATTGCTTGGGGCACAAGACCCCAACCACCACTGTGCCCGTTGCTCTTCAATTTTCCGAACGAACTGTATTGGATTTCCTGTGAATGGAGCCTGCCTATGGGCTTTGTTACTAAGCTATGTGAAAGCCGTTTCACATTGAGAACACTATGCAGGGGGCACAGAGGAGCACAATCTGTAATGGCTCCGATTGTTTGCCGACTTCGAGTACCAATGCAGATCAGGATGTGAAGCTTTGCAATCACTTGCGTGTCAATCATGGATGCAAGCTATAATGTCAAAAAAACTGTGCTGCACCTCATTCATGTGCTCTGACGATCTTTTGTTCTTCCATCACATTGGTCAGAACAACGTGAACAGCAACTTCACCAGCTGCGCCTTTAGAAAGAACAGTGCTGAGCACGGTGGAGGAGCACTGCTGCTTCGGGTATGCACCCATCAAATAGCATGTTTTGCATTGCGCACAGTGCAAGAGGCTCGTTGCTTTCAGCAGGGTGGGTGCATGCCCTGGGGCCTGCGCAAAAAGCATTAAAACTTGTAGGCCCAAGGAGGACAGGGGAGAAAGGATGGCATCTGTGCCAAAGGGAGAATGCCGTGTATAGTCACCGTGCGTGCAAGGCAAAGTATTGCTGCAGTCGCCATTTTGGTGGGATTGGCGGCAATACAGTTCTGAACATATCTTTGACCATAGGAAAAAAATCAACAATGCCATGATGAGCATAACAGAGCCAAACATCGTGCCAATATTGTCACATTTTCGCCAGGTTGGTAAGGGCTATGCGATGTTGATGAAATATGTGAAACTCAGCATTTAGAATGGCACGACTGTGATACAGGCACGCGTCCATGACGAAGATTGGTGTCAAATTGATCAGCAGCTCGTGGACAAATTCCTGTAGTCAGCGTTTCTTCAACATAGATGCAATAGCGAAACTGAAAAGAACGTGTGAATCTGTTTTGTTGGGCGTTCGGGGCTTGAGTTTATTTGCCATGTAAAATTGTGTGTGTGTGTGTGTGTGTGTGTGTGTGTGTGTGTGTGTGTGTGTGTGTGTGTGTGTGTGTGTGTGTGTGTGTGTGTGTGTGTGTGTGTGTGTGTGTGTGTGTGTGTGTGTGTGTTGTTGTTGTTGTTGAAATCCGGTTTTATTACATTAACCGGGCTCCGCGGCAACTGAGGCCATGTGGAGCCATCTGAAGCCATGTTCTGTTTTTAGTGCCAGCTCTGTCTCACTCCACTGTCCGTGTTTTAGATCAGAAAACCCCCAGCCCGAGAAGAACGCCCGCGCTCAGAACTCCTGAGCCACCCCAGACGACCGCACCAGCAAAGAAAAAAAAAAAAAAAGAAGGGAAAAAGAGAGAAAGAAAACAAAAGAAAAGACCCCACACAGTAGAGAAGGGACCGCCATGCACAGCCCTCTCCCTGGTCCACATCATCCTCGTCCTCTATCACATAAGCCTCCTCCGACTCCTCGACATCCCGGTCAAGCCTCCTCAACATCCTCGTCCTCACTGCTGTCCTCGTCCTCCTCCGCGTCCACGTCGACCGCCCCAGCTCGTCCCAGGGCCGCCCGTCCCTCCTGCTCCCGGTGCAGCGTGGCCTCAAGGTCATCCCATCGCCTGTGTCTCCTCCTGGTCTCGCAAAGGAAGCGGGAAAGCCAGAGCCGGCCCCAGCTGGATCCCGTTAGGAAATCCCACTCCCACCCCGGGCAAGCCTCCCCAGCCTGTCGCGTCCGGCCGCTCCACTCCTCGCGAAGCCAAGATGTGAGGCTCTCTCGAAGGTAGCTGAAACGGGTGCAGTCAAGAAGGAGATGCGCCCTGGAGTCTGGGCACCCACACTCGTCGCAGAAGGGCGAGTCCGTCAGACGAAACCGTGCCAAGTAGACGCGTGTAGGGTAGTGTCCTGTCAAGAACTGCGCAACCAATGCCACAGCGTATCGCGAGGGCAGGGCGCGGGTCCAGCGGAGATGAGAACGGAAGACCACATCCTCGGTGGAGTCCAGGACCGTCCCGTCCAAGGTCCTCTCCTGCCTCCTAGCCGTGTCTTGGTACCACCGGCAAATCTCCCGCTCCAGCTGGCGCTTGTTACACCACGTGTCCACAAGCGGAGAAGGACTGTCGCCCTGAGCTGCCCTCCTCGCCGCACTGTCCGCCAGCTCATTCCCAGCCACCCCACTATGTCCAGGGGCCCACCAAAACCGCACCTGCATACCAGCCTCCCAGAGAGCCTGGTGAAGCGCCAAAGTGGTCCACACCGACTCACGACAGCGTCGCCAATGAGAACCGGTCAGTGCCAGCAGTGCAGCCTGTGAGTCCGTGATGAGGGTGGCACTGCCCGGGGAAGGCGTCGACTGTAGCTGCCGGAGAGCCCCCTGAATGCCCCCTACCTCCGTATCAGTACTGGCGAGGAGCGGGCCCATGGGGAGGAGGAGGGTGTGAGATGGATGTGTAGCAGGAAGCTCGTCATGATCATCCCGGAAGAACACCGCAGCCGCCCCATTCCCCCCCCCCTCCATGACTGATCCGTCAGTGAAGATGCACACTCCCCCGCCAGCCTCCATGCAGCTGTCGATGCGATCCTGCGCCTCATCTCTGGCGAGGAAGTCGCAGGGGATCTGGGGAGGGGCCTCCCAAGGGGGGCGGATCCAAAAACATGCGCGGTCCACCCTCTCTAAACCCTCAACCACCTGGGGGTGCGCACGCCTGAGGGCCCTCAGCTCCCTCCTCGCCAAGGCCGCTGTGGAGCACCGTGGGGTGCGGCTGCATCCCCCGTCGTCATCTTCAATGCCTAAGGAAGTCCGGCCATACACCCGCTGCCTGAGCACGAATTGAAGGATGACGTATCGGATGTGAAGATCAGCGGGAAGCCACCCACACGCCGCGATGGCCTTCACCGTGCTCGTAGTCCTGAGAAGGCCAAGGGTGATGATCGCAGACATCCAAAGAACCCTGTCCAGCATGTCCAGCCTGGCCTGCGTCCTGACCACACTGCCCCACGCCACTGCCCCGTACCAGAGACGAGGAAAAACCGTTGCCCCCACTAAAGTGGAGACAACCGTCGGGTGCAGGCCCCAATGTGTAGCACAGAGCTTCCTGATGACTCGAAGACGTTGAAGGCAAGCATTGCAGGTGACCTCCAGGTGCTTCCGCCAGGTCAGCCTGCTATCGATCCAGACTCCCAGGTATTTAATCTCATCCACCTTGGGAATGGTCCGGCCGCCCATAGTCAAGTGTATCGGCTCCACCCTCCTCCGCAGGGTGACGTCCAGAGCCTTGCACTTGGCCGCGTCGAAGATCAGGCCCCATTCCTCGCTCCAATCTGCGATGAAGTCCAATGCAGCCTGCACCCTGCCCGGCGTGCCCTCAGTCGACGAGACAATGTCCCAAATGAGAACATCGTCTGCAAACGCCGATACGTAAATCCGCTGCTTCAGCCCCTCCAGCAGATCATTAATAAAAATAATGAACAGCAAGGGGGAGAGCGGCGAGCCCTGGGGCACCCCCACTCTGACCTGAACTGGAACCTCGAGATCGTTGATGAGGAGGATCGCTGCGCGCTCGGAAAGAAACCCCCTGATCCAGGCCACCAAATACTGGGGCACATCCCACCTCATGAGCTTCCACAGCAGGGCGGTGTGGTCGACAGAGTCATAGGCCGCCTGGATGTCCAGCGCCACGGAGGTGCAGCGATGTCCCCTCTGGAGCGCCATGTGTGCGGCATTCACAAACCGCCAGAGCGCCAACTCGGTGGCCCTAGACTGCCTGAAGCCCTGCTGGTGATCGCTGAGGAGCTGCCTGGTCTCCACAATATAAGACAGCCTGTCTGTGACCAGCCCCTCCAACACCTTGCTCATGGTGTTGATGAGGGCGATGGGCCGATAACCCTTGGCCACAGACAGATCCCCCCCAGGCTTGGGGATCGGGACCACCTTGGCAGCCCTCCATGAAGCCGGGTGCGTGCCCGAGCGAATCAGGCCATTAAAAATGGCTTGAAGCACTGGAGTGATGCTGTCGCTGCACTCCTGAAGACACTTGGCCAGGATGCCGTCCGCTCCCGGCGCGCTGACCGCCCTCATCTCAAGGATCCGCCTCCGGACCTCAGACTCCTGGATCAGAGGAAAATCCCCCCACTCCGTCGCCAGCCATGCGTCAATCTCCGCTCTCCTAGTCGCAGTCCGGTCTCTGAACTCCTGCGAAGACGGGGCCCTAGGGAAGAAGCGTGCCTGGAGCACGCTGGCCTTGTCTGAGTCCTCAACCGCCCACTGCTCTTCGTCCGTCTGGAGATCTGCCACCTGAATCCTTCTGCGGGGCTTGAGGATCCGCTGAAGCACTGGCCACATGTCCTCATGATTGACGGACTCACAGAATCGTCGCCATGTAGCCGCCTTCGCCTTCTTAACCTCCCGAGTAAATTCCTTGCAAGCCCGGCAGTATAGTCCCCTGTCGTGGTCAGTGTCAAGCCGGTCCGCCCTGTTCCTGAGGTGTTTCATACGTCGTCGCAATTCTGTGAGGTGAGGGCTCCACCAAGGCTTGGACGCCCAGCAGACCCTCTTCTCTGGGACATGCTCCTCGATGGCACCCTGCAGCACCTCTGTGAGGATCGTCGTCAGTCTGTCAGCCTCCTCCCGAATCTCCTCCCTCGACGACGACCGCGCATCAGTGCTGCCATCGTGGTCGGACGCCCGCTGAACTCCCCGTGCCCTGCATTCCCGAGCCACCGCCGCACTGAATTGGGGCCAATCCACCCCACTCCAGTCCTTGCACCTGTAAACACGGTTGCTGATGGGGGAGTGGGCCACGGAGAAGCGTATGGCGCGGTGATCAGAACCAGAGAAAAAATCCTGATCCACTCGCCAATCCGCCAAGCCCGAAGCAGCACTGCGGGTAGCCAGAGTGACATCGATCCAGGACTTGTCCCCCCGGTCAGACACGAATGAAGGCGGGGCGTCTGGGTCGTTGATCACCTCCAGATTGTGAAGCATGATAAGCTCCTCCACGGCCTGCCCCACCGCGTTGGTGCGGACATCCTCCGGCCCCCAAAAAGGGCTGTGACCGTTGGCGTCCATGCCAAGCACCATGCGGGGGGAGCGGCTCTGTGCCCAGACCACCGCCCGGCGTAGCTCCTCCAAACCCTCCCCCCACGTGTGACGGATGTAGGCAGAGACGATCACCGTAGACCCAGAAGGCCCCAAGAGCTCGGCTGCAGCGATCCTGGGTCCAAAAGGTTGGACCGTCTTGAACCTCATGGAATCCCTGAGCAGGATCGCCGCAAGGGGGTGCGTAGAGTCAGTGCCCCGCGCCACCACCAGCCGGAATCCTGGGAGGCCCGTCCGCCCCAAGGCCACCGACCGAGGTGGATCCTGGATGAGCAGGACGTCCACAGCCGAACCCTTGTCGACGATCTCTTGATGTGTCAGCGCCCATGTCGTCTCACTCCGTCGACAATTCAGCTGTAAAAAAGACAAAAGCCTGCCCTCCCCACCCCGGACACCTCTTTGAATGGAGGTGCCCGCCTGCCCGACCTCAGTCTCTGTCATTGGGCGGGTGGGGGTGCGAGACACAAGCACCCGGCTGCTCATCCCTCATCAGTGCACGCCCCCGAGGTGCATGGGGGGCGATCGTGCAGTCACGCGTCTCATGCACGCCCCCACAGCTCCTGCAGCGCGGCGGGTTGCGGCAGAAGCGCGCAATGTGACTCCCCAACTGGCCACAGCGAAAGCATCGCCGCGGCGCAGGTTGGAAAGGCCTGGCAGGGGACCAGCCGAAGTTGAGTACCACCCCACCATCCTTCAGAATCGCCTCAACCAGCGCGGTAGAAGCCGAGATCTTCACTGCCGTCGAAGGCGTCCAACCCTCCACTGCAGCAGCGGATCTGCCCTTGACGCGCCGATTCAAGCGTTCAACTTGGATGTCCTGCAGATCCGCCTTGGCCACTCCATTCCAGCGGCTGGCGTTGTCGGCGGCCAGCTCTCGCGCAAGGTCAGAGAGGGAGCGGGAAAGGGGGACCCCGCTGAGCACCAAGGACGCGCTCATGAGCCGGCGGCGGGCATCTTCTGCACGCTCCCACCGCCCAAACCCAG